TATGTGATACTGGGGATCAAATGCAGGCCTTTGGGCATACTGGGTGAGCACTCCACCAGCTGCATTCCCAGCCTGCACACTGATGGTTTCCATGGTAGGTAGAACTCCAAGCACATCCCAAGAGACTCAACTTCACTTTACAGCATGGGAAGACATCCCAGAGTTGACATTGGTCCCAAAAGATGAGCTATTGCCATTATAAAAGGGTTAATATAGGGAAATACCAGCAAGAGAAAATAGCAAAGCATGGTGTAATACCAGAATTTAGGAGGTCAGGAGGACCAGGAACTCTAAGTACTGCCTAGGCTACTTGAGACACTCTTAAACACACACACACACACACACACACACACACACAAGTATAATGAAGCATTAATAACAATAGTCCATCTAAAATACTTGTAAATGCTTTGGGGAAACATTGATAATGCCATTTTACATATGAAGACATATTCTTTTTTTTTTTTTTTTTTTTTTTTTTTGGTTTGTCGAGAGAGGGTTTCTCTGTATTGTTTTGGAGGCTGTCCTGGAACTCGCTCTGTAGACCAGGCTGGCCTTGAACTCACAGAGATCCGCCTGCCTCTGCCTTCCAAGTTCTGGGATTAAAGGCATGTGCCACCAACGCCCAGCTATGAAGACATATTCTAAGTATCAAAACTAGTAGATCTGCCTCTGCTAGGAGTTGGAATTAAATGAGATATGTACTGGCCAGCGTCATAGCTTACGGTGCAGTAACTGTCTACCATGCACAGGTCCTAGATTCCACCTTCAGCACCACTGGGAAAAATAGATCTCTGTGAAGTTTTTCTTCTTTAGGTATTTACTTTTTATGCATGTGTATATGTGTATAGCATGTGTGTGCATGTGTGCATGTTTGAATGTGTGCCAGTGTGCATGCATGTGTATCTACAGGTATGGAGGCCTAGGGTTGACATCCAATGTCTTCCTCACCTCATATACTGAAACAGGGACTCCCACTTGAACCCAGAGCTCACCAATTCTCTAGTCTAGTCAGCCAGCTTACTCTGGTGATTCCCATCTCTGCTTCCCATGTGCTGAGAATACAGATGGGTCACAGTGCCCACTTGGCTTTTTTGTGGATCCTGAGAATCCAAACTCTGGTCCTCATGCATGGGCAGCAAGCACTTTATCCTAGGCCTGTGTAAAGTCCCTAGCACATAGTAATTGCTCAATAAATGTTAATAAGGTCTGAGTTCCTTCACTTTGTGTCGGTTATCAAACCGTGTCACTTTATCATTTCATTCTTTACAGGCCGTTTTGCTTGGGATGTGAGGACATTCGTGTGGGCGTGAGAACAATGGACAAGGTCAGGCATGCTTTGAGATAGGTGTGGTGGTGCACACCTGGAAGTCTAGCACTTGGGAGGCTGAGTTCTATGCCAGCCTAGACTACATAGCAATACCCTCTTGTCTGGGGTGGGGTTGGGGTACGTCTAGTACTGGAGTGAAGTATAGACTCAGCTCTAGAAACACAGGGAGTCTTGGGAGGTGCCTGAATCAGGGTTTCTAAAATAAAACTCACCTATACTCCATGACAGTTCCGACAGAGAAGAGAGAGGGACCCATCAGTCCACCATTAATCCTTAGTGACAACCTGATCATATTTTGAGTCAATTAGAAGAATGTGGGCATGGCTGTGAGGTTTAACTGGGGAAAGAAGACCCATGCTGAGAATGGTGGAGACCTCCCATGGGCTGGGGTCCTGGTCTGAAAGAAAAGGGGGACAGGAGGAAGGCAACCGAGTGCTAACATCTGCCTTTCTCTGCTCCCTCTGCCACTAGGATATAAACACGCTGCCACACACTCACAGCTCCACAGAGATGCCTGTCGCTGTGTTCTCCTGACATGCCTGGCGGACTTGCTCACAATCACAAGAAAAATAAATAATACGCCAAGCTTATCTTTATCTCAGTATGTTTTGATCAGAAAATAGGTGAAAAAGAGAATTCCATCCTGTCATAGAAACAGTTTGGGAAATTGGGTATGGTGGCCCCAGCCTCTAATCCCAGCACTTTGGAGCTGAAGGCAAGAGGATCACAATTTCAAGGCTAGGTCTGGGACACACACACACACACACACACACACACACACACACACACACACACACACACACACTAATACATATAAAAATTTAATTCCAAACTTTTTTGAACTCAATAAATTGTGGCAGGAGAAGAAGAAAAGGAGGAAACAAGACAGGCAGTGAGAAAGGAGGGCAGTGGACTGGATAAAAAAATAGGAAGGTAGCATGAAGGAACAAATTGTACGAGTGCCAAAGGCTGCAGAGAATTTTTAATTCCCACCAAAGCAAAGCAAAACAAGATACAGGCAAGACCAAGGAGCAAAGACAGACTGGCTTCAGGCACTGGGCTTCTGCTTGCCACCGTAAGCCTGACAGCTGCGTGACCCTGTGATGGGGCCTCTCCCAGTTCTCTTCCTCTATAGCTGCAGTGGTCAGTGTAGGGAAAAGGGACCAGTCAAAGAAACGCTTACAGTCAGTCCTCCCAGAAGTTGCTAGGGGGTCCCAACTGCAAGAAATAGCATTTCTCAGTCATGCTTCCCAAAGAATCAATCATTTGAACCTCATACCAGCCCTGTGAGGCTGAGTTCATATCTGGGGAGGGGAGGGACCCAAAGAAGACACCAAAACACCCATGCTTACACAGAGGAATGGGCCACCAATACGGGAACCCAGATAATCTGGCTCCAGAGAGGAATAAAGGACCAAGAACATCACAGTGCAGACACTAAAGCACTTAGCAGGAAAACAAGAAGGATGGAAGAGGAATGGGAGAGTCATGTGCTTGGTGTTTACCCTACCACTACCACACAGCCATGGGACTGACCCGGGGCCATGATCCTGAAACAAGATCCCCACCTTGTACCCAAAACCACCTGCTTGTTCCCTAACAAGGGACACTAAGACCTCAAAAAGTAAAGGACAATGAAAGACACACACCAGATGCTGCTGTTGCCAGCACTGGCATCAGTGGGCAGCTGCTGTACATCTGGGCAATACTGTCCCATTCACTTTAAGGACTTCATGATTCATAATCATTGTCTTCATTGCTGTTAACACTGAGATGACAGATGGCTTTCATTTTCTTAATGCCGTCTGTTACAAGTGTAAGTCTTGCTGCCTATAAGGAACGAAACAAGGCATTTTCTCCAGATCTCACCCATGGAATTCACTAACCTATAAAGTATATAGAATGTATTATTCTCGCCCTTTAAATGTGAAATTAGAAGCTCCAGATCTCCAGGCATCTGCTTGAGGCAATACAGAGTGTGTCAGGCCCCAGACACAATCCCATGAGATCATGCCAAGAGATCTACATGGGATGTAAACTCCAACCTTTTGTCCCAATATGTTCATACTCTCCCATAGCCACACATCCTGGGTCACTGAAATTCAAGCCTAGCCTATCCTGAGAAAAGTTCACATTACAGCAGCCCCCCATTAAGGCCTCCACCAGCTGCCCCACAAGCAGGCTGGGATGCCCCAGAGGCCCTCACCTGGGGGGCTCGTCGGTTTCTTCTCTTGAGGTTCTGAGGAGGGAGCTGTTTATTCTGCTTCATCTTGTCCTGGCATTTGGTGCGGTGCTGTACACAAGATGGCTTAATTGGGCAGCAGCCATCCCTAGGGTCTCAAGTCCTCAGAGAGAAGAGTATGCAGGCCCAGTCTTTTGCTAATTGTGTCACCATGGCAAATCTTACCAGGGCTGCTCTAACCACAGGCAACTTTCTAATAACCTACGTGGTTTCCCATCCTCCACTTGCAAAGCTTCTCCCCTCCCCATCTGCTACTGGTTAACCCTGGGCCACACCCTATGAGACCCTGACCAGTGAAGGTACCATCGCAAGCCATGTCACGCCATGCGGCAGAGAGAGATCAGTGTGAGGTTGATACAGGGCCACATGCACCCAATGCACATCTTACCCTCTGTCCCACAGGCTAATAACTGAAGTATGCTCTCCTTGGCCCCTGCTTCTTAACTAAAGGCTGGAGCGTGTCATGATAGGTTCTAGGTGTTGTATGTCTTGGCTGTTAGCTGGCTCCAGCTAAACTAAGATGGAGCCACCAAAGGCTGTTGCAGTTTTGAGTGTGAAGAAACAAGTACATCTTTAAATGGTCAATAAAGATGCTATTAGTCTGGGCATTCAACTCACTGTAAACAAGTCTAGATAAAAGATTGTGTTAAGTGTCCATGAGATGGCTCAGGGGGCGAGGGTGCCTACTGCACAAGCCTGATGCCTTGAGTCTGATGTCCAGGGTCTCTGTAAAGGTGGAAGGGGAACCCATTCCACAAAGCTGTTCTGAACTCCACACGCATGCTGTGCTAAACACACATACTGATAATGATGATGATCATGATACAATACATAAAATTAAATACTTGTTAGAGTCACAAGAGCCATTCCCAGCCTGGTCACTAAAGGTAGCTGCCCTGCACCCTGTCTACTGGACAATTGGGAAATGAGGTTCAGTAAACTCCTACAGAAGTTGTGAGGAACCGTAGAAATCAGGACTTATGTCCTTCTGCATGGGTATCATCTTAGCTTTTGTTTTCTTTCTGCGGGGGGGGGGGGGCACAAGACACGTGTTTTGTTTCAGAAAGGGTTTCACAGTGTAGCCTTTGCTAGCCTGGAACTTGATATGTGGAACAGGCTATCCTGAACTCTGCTTCCCCTGTGCTGAAATTAAAGGTGTACCACTAGGCCCAGCATGTCAGAGCAACAGAAAATAAACTGGAATAAACTTGAATAGGCCTTTCCAGCTGGCTGCCCTCCCTGGAGCAGCAGCAAATGAAGCAGATGCTGTCAGAAGCCCCCAGGGACGCTGATGCAGCATTCTGCGGGCACTGCAGTAGACCTCAGGCTCCAGGAGCCCCTGCGACCCCAGGCATCCCTGTGCTTGATGCATGGTTAACCAACAGCACACTTCCAGAAGAACAAAGTGCAAAAGAGATTATTGCTGAGAAATATTGATTTTAATTAAACAAAAGGGCAAACCCTATGCACCTGTCATCTTTCAGCCTAAAAACCACCAAAAAGCTGTTGAAACAAAGCAGTTTCTCCCTTGTTGACTCTGGTTTTTTGGTTTTGGTTTTTCAATACAGGGTTTCTCTTGGAACTTGCTCTGTAGATCAGGCTGGCCTCGAACTCACAGAGATCTGTCTGCCTCTGGCCTCCCAAAAGCTGGGATTAAAAGCACCACTGGCTGGCTTGGCTTTAAAGTTCTAAACTTGGAAAACATGAGAACCATGTTGGACCACTATAAGATGCCAGATCTGAGCTGTGCACAGGAGGGTCCCCTGTAGGGCCAGGAGGCTTTGCTACCACTGAGCAGATGAGAGCCGAGTATATATTGAGGCCCCAAACAGGTGAGCTAAGGAAGGGCAGAGTCAGGGTGCTTCAAGGATCAGTACTCCTAATGACTGGCATTAACTCCAAGACCCCAAAGCTCCCCAGTTCTGAGTAGAACTATTCACACGCAAAGTAGTCCTTCAGGGGGGCAAAGAGGTGTCTGATGACCGGCACACTCCAGGACTTTCCCAGCAGCTTCTGGCGGGCGCCACGGCCCATGTTGGACACATCTGTGTAGTGTGCAGGAAAACCGAAGATCCTGGAAGAGTACAGAGCGAAAAGACACGAAGTTAGAGGTTAGAAGGGCCGGTATCCCCAGCACACCCAGGACAGATGTGTTCTGGAAACCCAGGCCTGGGAAAGCTATCAGGTTGCCACTGTCTCTGCACGCAGTTACCCTTCCCCATGCCTTCAGTCAGGACTCTTGGGCTCAAAGGAACCTTCTAGACCACCAGTTCCCCTGGATCCTCAGAACACTTGCTGGCAGCTGATAGTTGAGTCACAGGGCACTGGTGCGGTCTTGTGTCCCCCACACTGGGACTATGATTCTGGTCCTCATGTGCTGTGCGAGGACCATTCTTAAATGCCTACTGTGAATTAATCCATAAATCGCCAGTCAGCCCACACACTTGTGTGACTTCAAAACACAACGAGAGAAGTTTAGCAATCGAGTTCTTGGGATGGAGAGATGTAGGTGTGCACATGTCTGTGTCCCTGGGGCCAGCGGTCATCCTCAGTCCTCAGGTGTTAGTCCTCAGGGACCATGCATTCTTTTTTTTTCTTTTCTTTTCTTGAGACAGGATCTCCTAGAATTTGCATATTAGGCTAGCTTGTTTGCCAGCAAGCATCAGGGATCCTCCTGCTCTGCCTGCCATACTTGGCTCGAACCCAAATCCCCTCACTTGTCATTTTAATGACCGAGCCATCTCCTCAGCCCTGCAGTTTCTTTAACGAAGAACAAAGTCACCCCCAAAAAAGCAGAGCAGACTTTCAACCCCAGTTCAGTTGAGGACAATTTAGAAGTCAGAATCTGAATATGACTTTTGTCCAAGTACAGACACACAGACACACAATGCGCATGTAATAACATTTCAAAGAAATAAGTTCTTATGGCCCGGTTCTCGAAGCAGCACCAATAAGCCAGTGGCTATCCCCAGGGTTGCTTCTCTTTGCTTTGACGTCACCATTGTGTCATCCTTCTGCATTGGGCCTCTGAATCACAGCTCTGAACACTATGCTAGGGTTTCCAGGAGACTCTTCCTAGATTGACTGAGCAACGTTACCTACAGTTTTTCTACTAGTGAGAAATCACTATTTTTCAATCATTTGAATTTATTTAGTGTGTGTATATGTGTATGTGTATGTGTTTGGGCAGAGGACACCTTTCCCGGGTGAAATTGAGTTTGTCTGGCTTGTGCCATGGGTGCTTTGCCTGCTGATCCCTCACACCAGCCCAGAAATTAACTTTCTAGGCTGTGTATGGTGGTTCGTGCCTGTGGTGCAGCCCCTGAGACTGAAACAAAATGGCTGCCATGAGCTTGTGGCCAGCCTAGGCTACATACTGAGTTCCAGGCTGGCTACAGAGTAGCCTAGCAACAGAGCGAGACTTTGCCTCACCCCTAAAAAAAAGTTACATTTTTATTAAAACTATTTGTTAAAGAAGAAATAAAGCCAGAAGTGAGATTTGGGACGAAAATATGCACTACAAAAGTCTTCAGAATAGAGCTACAACATAAAAAAGAAGGAAAAAAACTTGAAATCCAAGAGGTGGAGCTTCACATAACAACAGACCACATAGCCCAGTAAACTGAAAGAGGTTAAAGACAGACCGTGACCAAGGAGGAATCAGCTGCCCCATGAGGAATGTAGCTGAAAGAGCTGAGGGGTGTCCCATCTTCCTAAGAACCCAGGAAGTTGGGACAGGAAAATGTCAGGGCCGTGCAGGTGACGGAGAGGCTGCACTATCTAATAACCTCAAGCCTGAGATTTCTCATCACACAGTGCCACCATCCCTGTGGGAAAACAAGGGCCGTTCTGAAAAGCTGTTATCATGCAGACCCTACTACACAGGCTCAGGAGGACCTGGAGGAACTAAGGCTCTGTGTGCTGCTGGCTCTAACTACATTCTCCTTCCAGTCTCTGTCCCCACAGATCCCCTCTCCAAGTGCAGCCTTGTGGTGATTAGAATGATAAACAACGCAGTCTCAGACTGTATTTGAATACAGTCCCCAGTTGCTAATGCTTTTTGGATAGATTTAGAAGATGTAGCCTTGCTGTGGTAATGCCACTAGGGGAGACCTTCATGAGTCTAAAGATTCCACCATTTCTAGTTCTCTCTCTCTCTCTCTCTCTCTCTCTCTCTCTCTCTCTCTCTCTCTCTCTCTCTCTCTCTCTCTCTCTCTGCTTTCATGTTTGCAGTTCAAGATATAAATTTTCAGCTGCTGCCAAGTCCTGCTTCCCTGTCATGATGGACTCTTAGTCCTCTGGAACCATAAGCACAAATAAACTCTGTTTTATAAATGTCCTTGGTCCTAATGTCCTATCATAGCAATAGTAAAGTAACTAATACACTTACTTTTCGAGCTCAGTACACCACAAATCATCGTCCTTGCCATTCATGACTACAGGGAAAAGCTGGTTTTTCCCCTGTCTGATGGAGTTCGACTTGGTGGTTATTGTCTGTACCTTCTTTAACTGGAGGGGGAAAATAAACATTGAGGGGTGAGCATAGAAGGCTTCCAAGTGGAATCAGGCTCAGGTGAGTTTGGAGAGGTGGCAGGGACAGACATACAAAGAGAGGGGACAAAGAGACTTGAAGAGATTGCTTATGCTTCCCTCAAATACCACATATATTTAGCCAAAGGTAACCATGAAGGATCACATAGTGGCCAAGACACCAGTTACTGATGAAAGGGGTCATTAAGAGCAAAAACCATCCAGACTCAGAATGGCCAACTAGAGCTTGAGCAATAGGCCTTTGCTTTTCACAGACACGGAGGAGCAGGCACCAGACTCTGCACTGTGCATCTGTGACTGTGCACAGCCTTTTGTAACAGCGTCCACCACTGTTGCTACTGCAAAGACCACCTGCAGCACAGCGTCTATGCCTCCAGCCTTAACCAATGCAGAACCCGGTCGCATTTTCTCACTGGAATTATTTACCAAGAACATCTCCTACTCTGCACTTGAAGAAGAGACAGAACAATCCTGTGGAGAAAGAGGCCCAGCACCAGGGGTCTGTGAGGGAATGAGCGGGAGCCACGTGGATAGAGCCAAGGTCACAGTTTTCCAGAAGGTGCAGCACAGACCACTCAGCGTCTTACCTTTGCTGTCCTACTGAACTCCAAGCAGTCCTGCAGCTCGAGCTTATCATTCTTTGAAGCTATCACAGGCCTGGGAACAGCCAAAACCCATTACTCTCCAGCATCTGCCCTGGAGGTCTAAGCTAGAGATCTCACAAGTCAGACAAGGAGAGAATCTGCTTTGCCCAAGTAAACTCTGGCAGTGACCATGTTCAGCCACAGGATGAAAAGGGACACATCTGTGAGGTAAGAGCAAGAGTCCACTAATCCCTGAAGAAGACAGCCCAGGGCAAGAGGTAGTGTTTCTCTGAATTTTAGGTTTTAGCAGTGGGCAAAGTGAGGCTCCCACAGAGAGACAGGAGCACTACAGTGGGACCTGTGCAGACCAGGAAAATGTGAAAAAGAAGCCTGGTCTAGATCAGAGGTTCTCAACCTGTGAGTCTCGAACCCGTTAGGGGTGGACAACCCTTTCCCAGTAGTCGCCTAACACCATCTGAAAACACACATATTCACACTATGATTTATAACTGCAAAATTACAGTATGAAGTAGCAACAAAAATAATTTTATTGGTGGGGTCACCGAGGCATGAGAAACTGTATTAAAGGGTGGCAGCATTAGGAAGGTTGAGCCTAAATGCTGGTGAGTCACCTCATAAGAGTATCCCACACTTTGGAAATGAAGCTCAAGTGGCTTTTAAGTTGGTGCCACCACGAAAGGAAGGACAGTCAAACCTTTCACTTTCTCTCAGGCAACCTGCTTTACAAATGCAGAGACAAACAAGCTGGCAAGAGCTAGAAGCAGATGTCTTCACAACATCTGCATGCAGGAGTCATCAACTCCTGTAGTGGCCCTAGGTAGGGCCTTCAAAGTCGAAAAGAAAAAAGAATGAGTGCCACACAGGGCTGAAGAATCACACCAAGAATTTCCCTTGACTACACCTTTCAGCTACCCAATACCAGCCGTGATTCTTCTTTTAAGAATGTATTTCTCGCTAAGGTGTATATGTGTGTTTGATGTATGTGGACACACATGCCACAGGGCATGTTTGGAGGTCAGAGGGTGGGCGATCTGGGGATCAAACTCAGGCCATCAGGCTTGTATAGGAAGCTCCTTTACCCACTGAGTCACACCACTGGCTTCCTATCCCTTTTGTGTCCTCCATGAACCTAAGTGAGATGAGGGGCCAAGAGAAAGGGATATGGAAAGCTCGGTGTTATATAGATTCAAAGATTAAAATTTAGCCGGGCGGTGATGGCGCACGCCTTTAATCCCAGCACTCGGGAGGCAGAGACAGGCGGATCTCTGTGAGTTCAAGGCCAGGCTGGACCGACAGCCTCCAAAACAATACAGAGAAACCCTGTCTCGTAAAAACAAAAAAAAAAAAAAAGATTTATATAAACACCGAGCATGGTGGCACATCCTTTAATCCCAGCACTAAGGAGGCAGAGACAAGAGAATCTTTGTGAGTTGAAGGCCAGCCTGATCTACATAAGGAGTCCTGGGCTAGCCAGGGCTATATGTGAAAAGATATGCATAAACTAGATAACTCAGACCTCAGCCCACCTGACACTTCATACACCCACTCTATCACTCATCAGAATTCACTTAGAGCAGTCCATCCTCTTAGCCTGGAAGCCACCAAATGCATAAACAAATGTTCAAATACCCTGCCAGCCTACAAACTCCAGAGATCACTGCCAGCAACTTCATTTGCTTTCTCACTGGATGGCACCTTCTAGGACACATCGTGATAGCTGGCCTTCTGCAATGCACCACCTCACTAGTGTCCCCATCTCTGAGCCCTGTCTCTTTTCCTTCTACTAGACACAGTATACCTTAATTGCTTAAGCTAATTTTTGTAATACCCTACCCCCGTGTACAACTAAGTGGCACCATGTATCAGGCCTGCAGTATCCAGTCAGAGATACCTGCATCTCCTTTTTCAAGCCACTCTTGACCCAAGAACACTAATCTCCAAGCTGGTCTGGGGATGCCTGCCCACCATCTATCCCAGAGCCCTCCCTTCTGTCTGGATTGGCTCCATTCCTTCAGTTCTATTGAATGAGGCCTCTCCCTTTCCCCACCCTACTTTCCAATGCCACCTCCCCAACCATGAACATACAATTACTCACTGTGTTCTCTAACCCTCCCACTAATACATCTTCTCTGCGAGAGCCACTGACATCATTGTGTTCCCCCTTGAATTGGCAACAATACAGTGCTTGGCAGGGAGAGCTTGAACGTTGAATAAATCAGCCCATGTGATTCCAAACGAGAACGTGGTACCTTTCGATTAGATGGTTAACTGAGTAAACATTAACTATGCCAGGGGTAAAAACAATATTAAAATTTTGAACTAAAAAAAATGACAGCATTTTAGAGAAATCTCCAAGCTGTCCCAGGACTTTGTGACTGCTGTCCACGCTCTGCCAGACTCCCAAAATGTATGCTTCTAGCACATCTTCCGGGAAGGGTTTCACAGCTGAGCTCATTTGCATATATGGGATGGTCACTACAATCACATGTCACACCTTAGTTAGCAAGCTGTTCATGAAAGCACAAAGGATGACATAAGGAGAGCTCTGCAGAGCCACTTGATTTGTGTCGAATCCTGAGGACTACTAAACACTGGGTATGACTACACAAATGTGAGATGCCAAAGTGGAGGAAGAAAAGTCCATGTGGCCTCAACCCTACACAAAGAAGTATAAGCAACAGAGGAATGCTGGGAACAGGAAGGGTGGCCTTCTTCAGGGAAGAGCACACCAAATGGTTGTCTAGTGCCAAACAGCCCTGAAAACAGACATACAAGTAACGTTAGATGGTCATATTTAGGAATAGATATATGTATACACTAACAGTTGATAAAAAGAAAGGCCATGAATTTCAGGAGAACACAAAGGAATATAAGGAAGGATTTGGAGGGAGGAATGTTATGATTAAATTGTAATCTCAAACTAAATTTTTAAGGGCATAAAAGGTTCCTGACTGAGAAAACTGGAGGAAGTCAGTGTCTGTGCTACTGTTTCACACCTCAGCTCTGCCTCCTGGTTGGCCACCAGTTGCCTATACCAGGTCCCACTTCATCCCATTGCAATGGAAGACTTAGCACATCAGGAAGAACAGGGAGGCTTCACAGTTCTCAGTCATCAAGGGGACCTTGAGAAACACCCACCCTGCAGTTAGAGCAAAACAGCTACCCAAGGAGTCCTGGTCAATGCTCCAGTTATCCAGAGCATCCTAAAGCCAGGACTTTCTAGAAGGTAGGAATGTTAGTCAGACTTCTATACAACTTTGCTGTCTGTTACCTGTCCCTCTCAGGTCTCTTACCTGTTCATCCCAGGCAGGTTGCCCCAGAAATACCGGGCCCTGTGGGCAGCAGAAACCTTGATGGCATCAATCATCACTGGATTACACTGCAGGAAGAGAAAGGGAGCTGCTGGAGAAACAGCAAGACTAGGCTGCCAGTCAGCCCAGGTCTGACCTGTGAGATGACAAGGTTTTCCTAGCTACACAAGAGGCAAGGAAACAGACCAGTTCCCATCTAGAGGCTGGCTGAGCAGAGCTGATGTGTGTTCACAGCATTAGAACAGTGACCAAGACAGAAGTTGGTACCAGGAGTTGGATAGTGCTCTGAGAGACCTGACCATGCTGCTTGTTGGCAGAATGTGGACTTTGGAACTTTGGATAGAAAAGCAGCTGAACACTAAAGCTTACAAGTGTGGCATACTAATAGGAGCCTGGACAGTAATGCTGAGAGCAGTGTGACCCCAGCTCAAGTTTCCAAGGGGAAGAATATTAGTAAGTGGCCTAGACACAATTCTTGTGATACTTTGGCAAAGAATGTGGCCACTTTCTGCTCTTGTCCTAAAAATCTGCCTGTGGCTAAACTGAAGAGTTTTGGATTAAGGACTTTGACAGAGGAGATTTCAGTATAACTGTAGAGTATGGTTATCAGTAATCATTCTTATGCAGATCTATAATGAAAAGGACTAAGCTATATAAAAAGAAATACAAAATGTTCAGTTTGAGGAGCTAAGGAGCACCAGAAACTGTAATGGAGCTAAATTCAGTGTTCAAGGAGATAAAAAGTTTTTGTTTTTTAAGCCTGATGCTAAATGAAATAAAGGGAGTGGTAACCTCAGGGCAAGACCCCACCCAACTTTTTTTCCAACTTGTGAAAAGGAATTAAAGAAAAGCAGTACTAGCACATGTCTGTAATCCTAGCACTTGGGAGGCAGAGGCCGGCAGATCCTTATGAGTTCAAGGTCAGCCTGGTCTACAGAACAAGTGCCAGGACAGGCTCCAAAGCTACACAGAGAATCCCTGTTTCAAAAAACAAAAAAAAAAAAAAGAAAAGAAAAGCTTAGGCAGTGAAGGGAACCATGAACAACAGAAAACTGGTGTAAATGTAATTGGAAAAGGGGCCCAAATTCCAGCCCCACCAAGCAGCAGAACTTGGTTCACATGGCTCTGATTTTCAAGTCAAAAGTACAAGAAAGGGGTTGTGGAATCTTCCTTCTTGGCAAAGGAAAGCAACTGATGCCAGGTCAGGAATGCCCCTGCATAGAGGCCCAGAGAGGCCATTATGTGAAGCTGTGAAGATGAAACCTTGATTGTGTTAGAGATTCCAAGATGTTGGAGAAGCCAGAGCCATGGGATACCTGCCAAAAAGAGCTGCAGACCAAATGTGAAACCAGCCCAAAACAGAGAATTCAACAAAACTGGAAGAAATTGGAGATCTGAAGTGTACTTTCACATCAGATGTGGAGATGCAGAATTTAGAGTTTGCCCTGCTGGTTTTCAGTTTTCTATGGTTCAGTATTTTCTCACTGTGTTTCCTTTCTTCTCTTTTGGAATAGTAATGCATATTCTATGCCATTGTATGTTGGAAGTATGTGATCTGCTTTTTTATTTTGATTTTTACAGGGGGTTACAGTTAAGAGATTGCCAGGAGTCTCAAAGGGGATTTTGAACTTTTGACTTTTAAACAGTATTGAAGCTGTGAAAAACTATGGGAACTTTTGAAGTTAGACTGAATGCTTTTTGCATTATGATATGACTATAAGCCTATGGGGGTAGGGCAAAGGGTAGAATGTAATAGTTTGAATAAGAATGGCTCCCACAGGCTCATATATTTGAATGCTTAGTCACCAGGAAGTGGAACGCTTAAAAAGATTAGAAGGAGCCGGGCGTTGGTGGTACATGCCTTTAATCCCAGCACTCGGGAGGCAGAGGCAAGCGGATCTCTGTGAGTTCGAGGCCAGCCTGGTCTACAGAGCGAGTTCCAGGACAGCCTCCAAAGCCACAGAGAAACCCTGTTTCGAAAAACCAAAAAAAAAGATTAGAAGGATTAGGGGGTGTGGCCTTGTTGGAGGAAGTATGCCATTGGCGGTAGATTTTGAGGTTTCTAAAGCCCATGCCAGGTCCAGGCTGTCTCTTCCTGCTGCCTGTGGATCAGGATGCAGAACTCTCATCCTCTTCTCCAGCACCATGCCCGCCTGTATGCCATCATGCTCCCCACAGTGATAGTAATGGACTACACCTCTGAAACTATAATCAAGCACCTAATTAGTTTATTTTGTTAGAGTTTGCCTATGCCCTGGTGTCTCCTCACAGCAATAGAACAATGACTAAGATAGCTGATCTCTGTCTGTGAATGGTGGGTAACAAGTCAGATCAGACCTGCCCACTCTGAATCATGTGTGCTCAAAGGTAGAGGTGTTCCACATCAAAATCTGCTAAGTCAAATCCCAGTTGCAGACAGACAGTGTGGGCAGCACATGGCTCAGGACACCCAGTCACAAGTAACATATGCTAGTTGGAAAATAGCCATTTCTATCACCTCTGAGACCAACATTGTAAAATTCTAAAGAAAACCAAGGAACAGTCCAGGCGTGGTACACATCTGTAATCCTGGCACTTGAGATGTGGAGACAAAATGATCAAGAGTTGAAGAAAAGCCTGGGCTACATGAGACTCTGTCTTAAAAAACAACCAAACATGGGGTTGAAGAAATGTCTCAGTGGTTAAGAGCACTGGCTGCTGTTCCAGAGGACCTGAGTTCAATTCCCAGTAAACATATGGGGGCCACAACTGCTTATAATGGGACCCAATGCCCTCTCTGGCATGTAAATGCACGTGTTGACAGAGTACTCATGCACATGAAATATATAAGAAACCCTGCCTCAAAAAAAAACAAAAAACAAGAAAGGAAGGAAGGAAGGAAGGAAGGAAGGAAGGAAGGAAGGAAGGAAGGAAGGGAAATCTAAAAACCTACTTAGTACAGTGTTTGATGTAATTCAAGTGGTGGATAATTAACTTCTCTGTAACTCCTAAAGCTACCATTTTCAGAAGAAAATGGAAACAAGGAACGATCTAAAGTAAAAGTAGAGGTTGGTGTCATTTTGGTGCCTTGCACAGGCAGGGTTATGTTAGGGATAAATGTCTCCCATGACTCACAAGTGTGCTGTACCCTCCCTCCCTAGATCTAGTCACAAACCGAGGAACCATGCCCACCTGTCCACACCCAGTAGCCTTCAATGCCAATGTGGTCTCCCTGACCCAAGTAGTCTTGACACTCAGGCCACTCACCTCCAGGAATCGTGAGATGTCCCTCTTGTCACCGACCTCCATGGCTACCACATTCTCAAACATCCAGAAGAATGGACGGTTGTCACACTCCTCAGGACGTGAGTAATTTAGCAATCGATAAAACTCAAAGAAGAGTCGGCCAGTGCCCTCTATATCCATAAAAGAACATCAGAGAACAGGGTTTAATCAAATCTTCAGTATAAGCTTCCACATTCCCTGAGACAAGAGAACCCCAATAAGTCCCATCAGTAAAGCCAATATCCCCCACAGCCAACCCCCTCTAGTCCCCTAGAATGACAGGGAAGGGCACAGGGACAGCAGAACACCATTCACTGACATCTTTCTCTGAGAGCTGAGGACTTATAAGGGAGCAGGCTTGCTTAAGGACAAAGGCACTAAACAAAAATTAACTTCTCCACCACCCCACATGGACCAGCACTCAGGTATGGGAGGGCCTCTGTGAGCCAAAACAAATGACTGCTTACCATACAAACCTTTCCTGACAGGATTCACACAGGAGAGATCATTGCAAGGGCTTCCACCAATCACCAAGTCGAATGGGCCCCACTCATCAATCTGAGGGAAAACACAAAAGGCAGGGATGAGCCTGAGGAAGGAGGGACTGAAAGCCTTGATTCTGGGGCAGGTGAATGACTTGGAGGGTTCAGGTACCTACCATGCAAGCCTGGCAACCTGAGTGTGATCCCCAAAACCCATGTAAATGGGAAAGGAGAACACTGACTCCAGGAAGTTGTCCTGTCATCTGCACACATGTGCCAAGGTACTGGCACGCTCATCCATGTGTGTGTGCACATGCACACACACACACACACACATACACACACAAATGATGATGACGACGATGATGATTTTTTTTAATTTACAATAAAGAAAACTTAAATTCTTAGAGAAGTTGCTAAGAAAACACAGTTCTAGAAACTTGCTCCATCAACAATTCCAATTCCAGGGCATGGAGCCTGAATGCTCACATTCCACTAAAAGTCCTGAATTATTCCTATTATATCACTCTTTCTGAAATGTCTCTGGTTCTCTTCTACCCACAACCCTGGGCCTCAGAGAAAGGGATAACATGCCATGAGACCAAGGTTCAGGAAATAGAGGAACAAGCAAAAATGAACCCCAGGAAAAAGGTCACCCTCACATTTTTCTTTGTGATGTTCCTGACGTCGTTCACGTATTTGATTTGGCCTTCGTGCTTAACAGTTCCCACAGCGATTGACTCTGAACACACTTCGGAGGCAACGTACTTTTCCACTTTGATACCCAGCTCTTTGAGCACCAAGTACCCTGTGAGGGATCAAATAGAAATGTGAGGCCAAGAGGCCAAGTGCAGAGCCATCAGCCCACCCAGGGTCCTCCTGAAGCACAATGAGAACCCCTTACTCCATCACTGTCACTTCAGGGTGTCTGTGTCGACTCCAGGGGACCTCACAGCACTGCCTGTAATGGCTATGTTCATTCCTTCTACATATAGGACATCTCACAAAATGGAAAGGAGCCAGAATTAAGGAAGGTAGTTGTTGCCTAACTGACCACAAAGGTATTCATGAGTATAGAAGGAAAAGTTTAAGAATAAAAGATAAAATGCAAGAGCTAAGAAGTGTGCCCTTTTAAAAAGGGACCAAGAACCTTGCATGAGCCACAACAGACCAGAGAGTGCTATGCATGGTAACAGATTCCTGTGTGCATACAGAGTGTAAAAACTAAAAAGGAGCCAAGACTGAGGGGCACGGCCTTATTTTCACAGCATTGGCATGTGTAGCCAGGAAACTTCCAGCTGCTGGAGCAGATGGAAAACAAGTAAAGCAAGATGCATGTTCCTTTAGAAAGGCCAGTGAGGCCAGGAAAAGGGACTTGCCACCAAACCTGATACCTGGGTAACCTCACAAGGGAGAGAAGTTGTCCTCTGACTTCCACATTTGTCTATGGGGCAAGTGCATGCTTATAGTCACACACATGTGAAAAGGGTGTGGGAAGGCACAAAGGCCATGGAGGGCAGCAAGAAAGGACACACATGACATCCCAGCTGCCTCTCTTCTCAATTGTCATGAGAGAGAAGCCTTCAGCCTGCCTAGAGGATTCTTTCATTGCCCTAACAGAGCATCCTCAGAGAAGCCTCAAACTCACCTGTCGCAATTCCATCAAACAGGGACAGGACTCTAATGGGCCTCCTCCTGGCTGCAGGAATTGCTGGGTACAACTTGGGTGGCTCCTACCAGACAAACAAAGAGTGATGCCTCCAGAGTGTCCATCTGTCCTCCTGTACTCAGAAGCATCAATGGGAACCAGTAAGAGAGTATTGGGCACAGGCTGGCCATTCTGTCGTTAGATAGGAGGCACAGTCACCTCCTACAGACACAGAGCCAGATAAGGAGCTTAACCGCTAACAGCCAAGGCCTCAGAACAGGAGATAAACTCCTACATTGTGGGAGCAGCTGCCCTCATCACTCATACGCTCAGATGTTTCCATCCTGTTCCCTCCTCAGAAGGTACTGGAAGGGAGAATTGTCTGCTAGAGATGTTAGCTAGCAAGGACTCTCAGCCTCTGGCAGGCACCGGCTCTGGGAGGTACAGATGGTATAGCAGAGATGGAATCTTGCTGTACATCCCCAGCTGCCCTTGACCTCACTATTTAACACAGGCTGCCCTTAAATTCATCACAAAGCTCATGGCTCGGGTAGCTGTGCTGTGATTCTAGCCTATGTCACTATGCCTGTTACTATAACTTGTTTTGTCTATTTTGACACAGGATCTCAGTACGTAGGTACCCTTGACTGGCCGGGAACTCACTTGACTGACCAGGCTGTCATTGGAGTCAGTCATATGACTGCTTGTCTCCTACGGGCTGAGATTAAAGGCCTAACCCTTGCTTTTACAGATGCACAGGATTCCAGATTCTCAGGGACTGTAATTGCAAGGGGCTGCACAGAGCCCATGGCTTACGAATTCTTCGAGGTCAGGATCAGAAGTGAAGAAGTCTTGCAGGCGCATGTTCCAATCCTTCCTGCGCCTGAGGACCCCATGGCAGCGCTGTGGGAGGCACATATAGCAGCTCCAGGGTTCCTGCAGCTTGGCATCCTCAGCTGTCCCTGTACCCACCAGCACCTCCAGACACTCCACACAGAAGCACCTGTGCCAGAGCATCCAGAGAATGGATCAAGGTTAGCAGACATTTGTCCAGCAGGTTCAGTTAGTTCTCCAGGGCATGACCACCCCTGCATGATGTTCCGCCTCCTGCCTCCACATGTTTTGAGCTATAGGGTAACCAACCATTTCAGAAACCTCACAGGGCTGGCCTCGCAGGCACACCTGGATCAAGTCCAGCACTATGCATCACTGCGGTCCATGCCCATGCACAACAGACTCCACAGAATGGCCCCTGGGTGCTCATTTTCTATTTGATTTTTAGCTGCCTACAGGCTGCAGGAACTGTAGGGTACAACCGGGGACCCTAGGCCCTCTTGTGCAGCCCCCATGGAAGGACACTCACCTGCAGCAGCTCGTGTTGCTGCACAGAAGTAGCTCACGGCCCTCGCAGCACACAGTGCAGTAGGACTGATAGCCGTCCTCGTCATACATGTAGAAGAGCTCCAGGAAGCGATCCTGACCACCAGAGAGAAAGCCCGTGAGACCATAGACCTGACCCCAACCAGGTCTGGCTAGCAAGCTGGCAGGGGCCCTAGCTGATAGCTGGGGTGCTTTTCAGCGACAGTACATATGAGCTGAGTGCCTCATGGAGAGCCTTCTCTGCTGCAGCACCTGTCCCCCAAACAGGAAGGGTGGTGGGGATGTGCCCTGGGGATGTTCACTAGGGCCTGGAACAGGAACTGTGCTGGGGGCCTGTCTGGGGAAGGATGTGGCAGAGCAAGGGGCAGGAAGACTTACCCGGCAACTCTGACAGAGCCCACCCTCAAAGAGGGGGTGGAAGGATACAGGGTTCTTCTTACCGCAGGACAAGCAGCAGTCTGAGAGAAAGACAGGGTGTCAGAGTCTAAGGGGCTAAGCTTAGTAGCTCCGGCCTTGAGTCTGACAGTTCTGAGCATCTGCCCCATGCCAGCCGTGTGCTGAGGACTCTGTACCATGTCTAATGTCTAACTCCTTCCAACAGCATTTCAGATGAGATATGGTGTGTTAGGGTGGTTGGCCATAGACTCAACAGTGTTTAAAGAACCATCCCCATTCATAGTCTGGGAAAGACGAGTTCCAACTAACAAAAAGAAGCACAGAAAAGGCCAAAGCCTGGGCAGGCAGGACAAGCAGCTGAATATTTTTTTTTGCTTGACATCTCCATTTTCATAAACATTAAATCTCAGACACTGAGGCACTGGTACTGATTCTGATTGGCTTGGTGGCAGATAAAGAACTTGTCTGCAACTATGCCCAATCACAGATTACCATCCCAGACCTTGGTTTTCTTCCTTTTGTTTTTGTTTTTGTTTATTTTTTTATATGAGGCCATACTTTCTTGGCTATAAACTGATTAACTATTCAAGAGGACAAAACCTTTAAATGGCCAATACTGTCCCATGGGGGGAAGAGACTAACGGTAGATGACTCTACATTAGCTAGGGAGTGGGGTGGTCATAGGCATCTTTAATCCCAGCATCAGGAGGCAAAGGCAGGTGGATCTCTGTGAGTTTGAGGCCAGCCTGGTCTACAGAGTGAGTTTTAGGACAGCCAAGGCTACACAGAGAAACCCTATCTCTAAAAACCACACACACACACACACACACACACACACACACACACACACCAGTTTCTAACTTGTAGGTACTGCTCCAAACTTCAGCTTTTTTAGGGTACCCTGGATCCAGGTCTGTTTTCTAACCCAATAATGAGTAACTACTTGATAAATATTTGAAGAGTAAGGCACATTGGGCCGAGAATGCAAATGAAGAGTCCATCGCACATTCAAACTCCATTATGTCTGTTTTTGGAAGATTTCTGAATCCCAGAGCAGTACTCAGTGAAAAGGATAGCAGAGTCAGCTCGAGAAGGAGCCAATGGCAAAATGTGTCTTATTTTAACCTACAAGTTAGCTGTGCTTATGGCATGGCAAGTTCAAGGTTCCATTGATCTGGAGTTTTCGGGCATTGGCCAAAGTGCCACAGCTTCCATTGCTCCCCAACTCCAGTGAGTGGCCACATCACATTCGGTTAAGAGTGGAAGCAAATCATACCACTTGATCTAAAAAAACATAGCAAGAAATACATAAGGAGCAGAAATGGTCCCCAGGACTCTGGATTGAACCCATACAGAAGGTCAAAGCCAGGCTAAGACAGGCCTGGGGCACCCCAGGAAGGAAGGACCGGGGGACAACAGTACCTTCCAGATTGCCCTTGTTGTTGGTGACATCAGAAGCCATGCGTTCTGTTGAGGAAAGAGGGACAAGGTGTGAGATGAGGTGGGGAAGTCTCTCCTTTCCCATGCAGCCATGCACCTCTGCATTCCACACAGCAGTGGTCTGAGGACCTGCTGCCCCTAGTATGCACCATGCTTGGCCAGACCTGTCAGCACCCGACCCCAAATCACCTCGGCTCTCATCATCCTCTCTTCGGTCTTTCCCACCATAGCTATTTGTCTTGAGGCGCTTGGGTGGGGGATAGGATTCAGAAGCAGCAGGGTCGTTGGTTGTGCGTCTTCGACTTTTGTTCTCTGAAAGGTAAGCAGACAGATCTGATTGACGGTCTAAGAGACAAGACCTAGGACAAGATGGGCCTAGGACAAGACCATGCTTTGCCTGGGATCCAGCTGCATCTAGAGCAGGGGACCCTGATGGGTGCAGAGAACCCAGAGGGGAGCCCAGAGCAGAAGCCAATTCAGAGCTCCTCTCACCCGGGAAGCAGGCAGATTCATGGTCATGGGGTTTAGACATCTGGATGTGTACGAAAATCCATCCTTCTAGAGTGAGTTTAGAGCACATGCTGGGCCACAGCTGGAACTCTTGAGGTTCCTACAGTGATGCCCACCACAACGCCGGATGGAGGCAGGGAGCTATTTGAAATGTCAGGAGGGACAGGATTTCACACTGATGGCCAGGTCCAAATTGTCAAATGATGCTACTGGTTTGGTTAATTTGGACTGACTTGAACCCTGGAATCTACTTAGCCAATTTATGAAATTAGTATGTTTCATTAATCAATTTTAGTTTAACTTTCACCTAACAGCACAAATTTTTAGGACAGTACAAGACAAAAGCGAAATGTCCCAATGTTTTATATAGACTGAATGTTTAAATGCTAAGTTTTGAAAATATTAGGTCAAAATATATGATTGACATTAATTTCACATGATCCTTTATAATATTTTCTATGAGAAAATAATTAAATTACATTCTGTGGCTCCCACTCATTAACGTTATTTATACTTTTATTGGACTATTGATTCACAGTGGTCATGGTTGAATCTGACTCTTCCCCATTCACACATACTAGGAAACAAAATCAGGCATGAGGAGCCAAATGTGGTGACCCATGCTTGCAATCCCAGCATGAGACCAGACAGGACTACTACCTGTCTATCACCACCCCACTACCTGGCTAATGTAGTGAGACTGTTTTCTCAGAAAACAGAAACACAAAAGAACCTTTGATGGCAAGGTGACATTTGCCAATGCTTATGTGTGTTATTAATACTAAGAAATAAAAAGGAAGGCAGGAGTCCTAAAATTATAGGAGGCTGAATATGCACCCATGGCTCCCATGAGGGTCATATGTGAGGGCGAGTGACTCAGCTCAGCTTAGGAGACTTGATTCTTCTCTAGTGAGCACTGTAGATGCCAAGAAATTGCAGGACAGAGCAAAGAAAACAGATCTCAAGGATGGTAAGGGAATACTGTGTCTCCCGGGTTCGGAGTTCCTACTGCCTGCACCATCCATCCCCACCTGGTTGCTCGTTATTCGGTTTGAGGCCCTCGATGCCAGTGGGCTTGAAGCCCCCGTGGGCCCACTCCAGCATGGGCTTCAGCTTGTCCTCCAGTGAGTCTCCAGGGCTGCTGGGGAAGGTCTTGCCAGCTCGCACCCTGGCTCTCTGCCAAGACACAAATAAAGGCAAAGTCTGTCCATGAATGGGAACAGGCGAATGAGGTATGTGCCAGGGTGAACCCAGGGATTCCTCCTGCTGGGGCCTGCATTCCCTAAACACTGGAGTCTTTCAGAGCTGCACAGCTGTCCTTGGCTTTGTTATGTGACAGGGGCCTGCTTTTGAGGGACAGATAAGGAAACAATAGACCATCCATCGGGGCAGGCACCACATATGACCTCTTCCCTGTAGAATCAGACACTGGGCAGCTCTCTCCCAAGAGAAGGTTTCAACTCAGCTTTGCCACTTAAAATGCAGGAGCTTCAGGAAGATTTACCTTACCCTCCTGCAGCTTGTCTCAGACAGCAGACTTCTTGCTGTGTCTTCCACAAGATGTGAATGTGGTCAAGCATTCTTCGTTTTAAGGGCACTGCCAATTTACATGCCTAATTAGGTACTTGGCCAAGTGGGGCAGGCTGGTAGGGGCTGGAGGCAAGTAGTGGGGAGCCTAATAGCTCAGAGGAGATCGTGTCTACAGACTAGGGGAGGAGGCAATGGGCCTCAGCTGCCTCCTCTAGGCCTTGAAGGACCCCCCTTGAAGAAGGAAAGCTCAGCCGCCTCTGGGGCAGCCTATCCTGCAATATCACTATTTGCCCCTGTGACGTACGTTACACTGGTCAATTGTCATGTGCTGCTTAAACTCACTGAAAGCTGGTGCTGGAAATGAATTGCCCGCCCCTGTCTCAAACTCAAGCATATTGATTTCAAGTGTCTTCTAAAAATCCCTGTCTGGGCAAGCTGGGCCCATAAGACTGTGTCAGGGACAAAGGAGAACAGCAAACTGCTGAGGGCATTACAAACATCACACCCTTGAGAACAGCTAGAAGGTAAAACCGTTTTCAACAGGGGACACATGGTTTATCCCCACGTGGTAAAGGTGGCTGCAGGTGGGACGAAGGGGCAGAAGCTCGTCCATAGAGGTGAGATTTTTCTCTCAGTCAAGAAGTCTGGCTTCTTGACGCTGTCAGCAGGTCCTCCCGCACCATTTCTTTGGTGATTTGATGACATTTCTTCTGCTTGCTCTCCCAGTTGGGCTAGTCCAGATGGCTGGATATTGTGAGCATCGGATATGTTGCTGTTTTTCTGTCTATCTGCTGTTTGCTATTTGTTTTTGTTTTGTTTTGTTTTTGCTTGCTACTCACTTAATAAACTCACTCCTTTGAATCTGAAAGCACCGCCATCCAGCCCATTCTCCACAAGGCAGCAGTCATCTTTCCCAGTTCAGCTGACAGTACCAGAAACTCTCTAGTGACCTTGGCACATCTCAAATTCCTTTCCCAAGCAAGCCCTCTGTCTTTGGCATTCACCGCCTCCATGGTATCCCTGTCTCCTCCAAGCCAACCTTGGCAACACAATGGTGTGAACTAAATGGCTCTCCCTTCCTCCCAGCTCTTAAACTCAAGAGCTCACTCTTACACCTAGGTTACCTCCGTGTGGTATATGACCTTCCCGTAAGAAACCATCTTATAACCATGTTGTGGTGGCATATGCCTTTAATTCCAGCACTCAGTAGGCTGAGACTGGTGGATGTCTGTGAGTTCGAAGCCAGCCTGGTCTACAGAGCTAGTTCCAGGACAGCTAGGGCCACACAGAGAAACCCCATCTCGAAATAGATAGATAGGTAGGTAGGTAGGTAGGTAGGTAGGTAGGTAGATAGAAAGAAAGAAAGAAAGAAAGAAAGAAAGAAAGAAAGAAAGAAAGAAAGAAAGAAAGAAAACAGAAAACAGCTTATTGAAGGGGTCCAGGTTATAATGAATAGTCAGTCAAGGGCCACCAGTTTATCAGCAGAGACCTAGTAGAGAAAGCCATCACCTAGGGCAGTGGTAGCTCAGACCTTTAATACCAGCACTCCAGAGAAAGACATTACCAATATCAACCTGCAAGTATACTTCTTCACCCAGGGCCTATTCCTAGGATGATTCACAGATGCCAAAACCAAAAAGGGGACAGTATATAGCACATATCGTGGAGCCTGAAACAAGGGCATATGACACTCCAAATGTGAGGAAGAATGAAGCTCAGAATGGGCACAATAAGATACAGCCCATTTGTGTTCACATGGTGTATGTGTGCATACATGTATGAACAGTCAATGTCACTGGTACAGTCATGAGACTCAGTCCTGAAACTGGCTTAAATGCATTTTGTGCAGGCTCTTTGCCCTTCCTGAGTGTGAGGACAGCTACTGAGTCTTCAGATTCTCATCCAGTGAGTTCCCATCATGCATAGGTTCAGAGAGCATGCTTGGCACAGAGAGAGCTCTTACTACGCACAATGATTGCGAGTCTTGAACGTGAATGGCAAGTTGCGTGTTCTAAGTCCCCAGACAATGAATGCAGGAATGTTGTGGGGTGGCATTCCTCGTGAGGGGGGAGACAAAGCAGATGTTCCAGGCTGCTTTTCACAGCTGTAGACAAGTGGGATGTCTCGGGATGAAACGCTTGCTTTCACACTCACACCCATCTTATGCTCAGAGCCTCGACTCTGTGGTGCGGCCACCATGGGTAACAAGGAAGTGCCAGCTGCTCTAACCAACATGAGAAGAACACAGTGGATACTAGGTAGGCTCTGAGCAGGTTTCGGTCTTTGGCCAGGACCACAGCACATGGTGACTTTTTTGTCTGTTTGTTTTGTTTTTTATAATTTATTTAACTTTATTTTATGTGCATTGGTGTGAAGGTATCAGATTCCCTGAAACTGTAGTTACAGACAGTTGTGAAATGCCATGTGGGTGCTGGGAATTGAACCCAGGTCCTCTGAAAAACCAATCAGTGATCTTAACAACTGAGCCATCTCTCCAGCCCTAAAACCATAGCACATTGTAATTCCATCCCATAATCCTCTCTCACCATACTGCACCTTATTGCCATATGGCCTTGTCTAGAAATTAGTATGCCATATCTCACTAGATATAGCAAGCATCCCTCTTCTAGGCCACACAAGTCATTGTGCACACATCCCAGAGTGTGATGCTGAGTGCCATCATAAACCCAGGACACTTATCCTTTTCCGCCCTCTGCTGGTCACACAGCACAACTGCATGAAGTTTCTCATAGATTTGATAATAGTTTTTGTTGAAACCAGAACCTCAAGTTCTTTTCAAAAGAACTTATAATTGCTCATGTGTATTTGTCCATGTGAGTGCATGCCACATGTATGCTAGTGCATTCAAAACACAGAAAAGGGTGTCGTCAGATACCCTGGAACTAGAGTTGCAGGAGGTTGTGAGCTGCTGAGTGCAGTTCTGAGCACTAAACTTCTGGAAGAACATCACGTGCTCTTAACAGACAGCTGAGCCATCTCTCCAGCCTCCCCTCCTCCCACCCCCCCCCACACACTTCCAGCAATGTTCCTTTTTTTTTTAAGGATTTATTTATTATGTATATAGTGTTCTGCCTGCATGTATGCCCGCAGGCCAGAAGGGGGCACCAGATTTCATTACATGGTTCTAAGCCACCATGTGGTTGCTGGGAATTGAACTCAAGACCTCTCTGAGCCAACCCCCACCCCCAGCAATGGTCTTAATAGTTTCCCATGTGCTTCCACCCTGCCCCATTCCATGTCCCTGTATCTTATGTTGAGAGTTGGTCTGACCCTGACTAACAATCCTAGGAGACCATTACAGGGAAACCATTCTATCTCCATCCTTCAATTAAAAATCTTTGCAGATCTCAGACCATTTGTTCAACAGGTATCTAAGAATCAAAATTGGGTCTGATGGAGTGACTCACTGATAGAGTCTGCCTCACTCCAGGCTCAGCCATGGCCTCCTGCCTGCCCCCCAAGCAGGACTAAATGCCACTAAGAGAGAGAGCCTATCTCTCTTGTCTCTCCCAGGCTTCTTTCTAAATTCACAAGTGTATTCCTGACTGTTCCTGGTCTCTCGGGGCCCATAATGGTGAGTCTGACTCCAAAGAAGAATTACCAAAAGAAAGAATTTAAATCCATGGAGCCCTGAATCCAGAACTTTCTAACCTTTTACCCTTTTCACGAGTAGACTTGTCTCTGATCCTACAAGCCACCAAGAGTCGATTTCAGGGAAGTCACTCAGGAAGCACTTGTCCAGACCCAGTGCCAAAGCTTAATGTGGAAATCTGTTCTCAGAGCATCCCCAGTAGGGAAGTCAGCCCTCAGGTCTGCAGACCCCCAAGCCTGCCTTGCCCTGAGCTCACCTCAGAAAACTTGCCATCCCCAAACCACTGTCCCCACTGTATGCCAAGCATGGCGTGGCACGGGGAGGTGGCTTTCCAGGACACCACCATGACAGGCCCTCGGCCTTTTCCCACCTGAAGTCACCTATTCCAAACTCCTTCTCATCCTGAAAAAAAAAAACAAACCGCACTTGAAGGAATCCCAGTAGCAAAGACAGATGACCTTGGGCAAAGTCACATAACTCCATTGACGTTGAGAGTGAGAAAAAAATTTCCATAAAATCCAAGATGCTGATTTGAGGTACAGCTCAGTAGTGCTACACAGAGAGAAGCCCTGGATCCACCACGTCATAGGAAAAAAAAGATGCCCAGGAAAAATAAGTAATTGACGTACACACCGACAAGCGCCACCTCTCCTCCCCAGGCTCAGGGACCACTGTGAAAGGGGAGGAGAGATGATAACACTCTGGGAAGGACTGAAGTGAAACAGTGTCTTCAGGCTGTGATTCTCACAGCGCTCATGAACTCGCGGCAGCTGCGTCTCCAGGAGACTGCCCAAGAGCAAGCAGTCAGCCTTCTCAGATGGAGGAAGGAGACTCATGAGCCCCATCCCTACCTGAGGGGCCACTGACAGGTGTCAGCTTCTTGGGGAGGAAGAGTCAGTGAATTTAAGCTGGGTGGTGGTGGTGGTGGTGGCGGCGGTGGTCGTGGCATGCAATTGCCTTTAGTCCCAGCACTTGGGAGATAGAGGCAGATAGATCTCTGTGAGTTTGAGGCCAGCCTGGTCTACAAAGTAAGTTCAAGGACAACTAGGGCTGTTACACAGACAAACTCTGTCTCAAAAGAAGAAAAAAAAAAGTGTGGTCCCCAGTAGGTCAACCACCACACTCCTGTAGATGGCCCCACACCCAGGAGTATATGGGCAGCACAACATGGATTAAGTGGATTTTGTTGTTGTTGTTGTTGTTTTTGTTTTTTTGGGTTTTTTTTTGTTTTTTACGAGACAGGGTTTCTCTGTATTGTTTTGGAGGCTGTCGGTCCAGCCCAGCCTCGAACTCACAGAGATCCGCCTGCCTCTGCCTCCCGAGCGCTGGGATTAAAGACGTGCGCCACCACCACTCGGCTGTTTTTTTTTTTTTTTAAGGCACAAAGTTGGGACAGGTGGTGAGGGTGGACTGATCTGGAAGAAGGGGAGGAGTAGAGCATGCATATGATCTAATGACATTATGAAATCCTCAAATAATCGATAACATTATGCTAAAAATTGCGAAAGGACAGCTAAAGTGACTCTCAAGAAATCTGTGCCCATTCTTAAGTGGGTTAGGTCCTTGTCATAAGTCTCCCACTCCACAAAAATCTGCTTAAACCTCACTAAATCTTTTACTAATTAGTTCCCACACTGCTTCATTACCAAAAATTTAAAAAAGGGCATGGTAGATAAGTTTTTAATCCCAGCACTCAAAGGGCAGAGTGTAGGGAGAGATCTTAGATACCTGTGCCGCTGACCATACCCACTTTGGGCAGGGCTACATGTGCATACAGACTCGGGAAATGGGACTGTACAGAGGAGACACCCTCTTTCTTTTTGGGTTCCAGTCAGGTCTTGGAATCTGGGTTGCTGGTCTCTCTTGTAAGTGCCTTCCCACAATAAATAGTCACCTTTATCCTCACTCAGTGTGCAGTTTATATTTCTCTAGAGCAGAGGCTGATGGACCTCTGTGAGTTCAAGGCCTGCCTGGGCTACATAGTGAGTTCCAGTCAGTCAAGAAGGACACCTATATAGTGAAACCCTGTCTCAAAACAAAACAAAAGCCAACAAAATCACAAAACTACAGCGCAAATGAGTGGGAAGTGATAGACATGGAAAGGACGTCCCCCAGGAGACAGCCATGTGCAGGAAGGCACCATGCAGCGATGCACACATACAAGCTCCATCGTTGACTCAATGAAGCTCCAGACCCCTGGGTGCATGACACATGCTTGAAAGTGAGCCCACCCTAGTACTCCCCCCTGGGTGCATGACACATGCTTGAAAGTGAGCCCACCCTAGTACTCATACGTCTGCATATGAACAGAATGTGCGAGAAAGAAAACAACATCCAGAAAACAGTGTCCATGGGGCTGAGGCAATGGTTCCATTGGCTAAGTGCTTGCCACACAGATTCCCTAGTACCACAGCAAAAGCTGGTTGTGTTGGCATGTGCTTGGAATCCCAGCACTGAGAAGGTGCAGACTGAAAGATCTCTGGAGCTTCCTGGCCAACCAACGTACCCCAATTGGTGAGCCCTGTGCCAGTGAGAGACACTGTCTCAAAAATAAGGTGGACGGGGCTGGAGAGATTTCTCAGTGGTTAAGAGCACAGACTGTTCTTCCAGAAGACCCAGGTTCAATTCCCAGCACCCACACAGTGACTCATAACTGTCTGTAACTCCAGTTCTAAGGGATCTAACACCTTCTTTTGGCCTCTGAGGGCACCTGGCATGTACATGGTACACATATACATGCAGGCAGAACATCTACATGCATAAAATAAAAATTTTAATTAAATTAAATTCTGCATGAAATAAAAATAAAATAAAGTAGGGTTGAGGGCTCATTGGATAAAGCACTTGCCATGCAAGAGTGAACACCAGAATTCAGAATCCATTTAAAGCTACATGCAATAACGCATTTCTGTTGTCTAACCTAGGACATGTGAGAAGTAGACATAGGAGAAGCCTGTCTCACAAAGTGGCAAACAGAGGGAGACCATGTCTCAAAGGACAGTGGGAGCCAAGGACTGACACTGAGACTGTCCTCTGCCTTCTACACACACTGTGGCATGTACACACCTGCACTCGCACGTGCACAAACACACAATAATAACAGGTGGAGAAGTGATTGAGGAACCATCTGATGTCAGCCTCTGGCTTCTACCTACACATGCGTATGCTACGCATATGCACATGTGCACAGAGTGGGGAGAGAGAGGGAGGAAGAGAGAGAGAGAGAGAAAGAGAGAGAGACAGAGAGAGAATACTGTTCATGTTGGTGTCCAGGAGCCAAGGGCAAAGGAAGAGCTATGTTGCATCTGGAAAAATATTTAGAATTGTAATGTATGATAAAAATGTCAACAATTGTTGGGTGTGATGTCACACATCTTTAATCCCAGAAATTGGGAGACAGAAGAAGGTGGATCTTTGTGAGTTTAAGGCCAGCCTGATCTACAAAGAGAGTTCCAGGACAACCATGGCTGTTACACAGAGAAATCCAGTCTCAAAAACTAAAAAGAAGACAACAATCATAGTGGTTGATCACTATATAACTGTTATCTCTTCCTTATATCCAGAGGCTTAAGACAGTGTGGTAGTTTGAATGTAGCTGGGCCCTATGAGCTCATTAGGAGGTGTGGCTTGTTGGAGTAGGGATGGCCTTGTATCACTGTGGGGGTGGGCTTTAGGGATGCTATGCTCAGCTACACCAGTGTCACACACAGTTCATTTCCTGTTGCCTATGGATCAAGATGTAGAATTCTCAGCCTCTTTTCAAGCACCATGTCTGCCTGCACACCACCAGGTCCCAATGTGACGATCATGAACTAAACCTCTAAAACTATAAGTCACACCAATTAAATGGTTTCCTTTATAAGAGTTGCCTTGGCAATGTACCTCTTCACAGCAATAGAAACACTAAGACAGGCAGAATCCCTTTTCAGTGGTACCTGATATTTGGTGGTGTTTCCATCTCTGCTTCCCACATCCACCTGTGTGGTACCCATGCCCTCATGATGGCTGTCCTGGCTCAAGTCAACCAGTGGGGTACTGATGCTCTGGGGTATCACTTCTTCATCTGTGAGGTCAATGGTGGGGTAAGGGCTGGTAGGAGGCCGCCACGGTGTGCTTGCTGAAGTGGTTGCTTGCCAACTCGAAGACTGTAGACAGAAAAAAAAGGTTGAGTCCCGGCAAAGCAGGTGGGGTATATAGGAACAGTCTCCCTCCATCAGGTCCCACGCAAGCAATAGTGAAGAAACAAACTGGGACCCTTTTGTTCTATAAGGACAAGAGCTGGCGGTCATTGACCCCAAGGCAGAGCAGAAGCAGAAAAAGGATGAGAGTGCAAAGACCGGAGGCTCTGAGCTGAGCTCAGAGAGGTGGGGTCTCTGGGAAACTGGCTCCTGTGCATCTGGAAACAGAAGTAGAATGTGCAGGACCTGCTGGGGTTGCCTCAAGACAGCAGAAAAAGCCACAGAGACAAGGGCGATGCATGCCAGTGGCTTTCAGCTCAGCTCCAAGCTGGGCCAAAACTGGACATGGGAATTCTAGCATCCTCAACATAATTCCAATAAGGACGGGCCAAGAGTGAAGCCTAGGCTTAGGACCTTACCTAACGCTCAGGAAAGAGAGGCAGACTTTGTCTTGTAGCTATATTTGCTTGTTTGTTGTTTTTAATAAAATAGACCTGGAGCTAGTTAACAAAAAGATTTGGGGCTGGAGTGATGGCTCAGCAGTTGAAGTCTTTACTGCTCTTCCAGGGGACTTGAGTTCAGTTCCAGGCACCCTCCTCATGTGGGCTTACACTGCCTGTAACTCCATCTCCAGGGGATCCCATGCCCTCTTCTGGCCTCTGAGCACAGGCACACATATGGCATGCACACAGAGACATATGAATAAAAGAAAAAACAACTTTTTAATGATTTAATGTAGTTTTTTCTTCTTTTTGGTTTTTTCAATACAGGGTTTCTCTGTTTAGCCCTTGTGTCCTGGAACTCACTCTGTAGACCAGGCTAGCCTCAAACTCACAGGGATCTGCCTGTCTCTGTCTCCTGAGTGCTGGGTTTAAAAGTGTGTGCCACCACTGCCCAGCTGATCTGACATAGATATAAACAGGCATGGGCAAAGACTTGCTGAACCACCTATTCAGGTCTTAATGGTAAGAAGTACCTGGAGGCAAGAGGGAACTTACTGCTGGGGTTTTAGAGGTTGTCCTGGTCTCCCAGAAAAACCTGGGCATCACCAGAGTGCCAGAGCCACTGCTGTCCTCCACCTCACCATCTCTACCTTCATCTCCATCTCCTGTCAGGTCCTGTGAAAGGGAAACAGCTTTCCAGTGTCACCAAGTCACACAAGCAACACAGCTAAGGAAGGAGAATAGCATTGAAATGCATAATGATGTCTCTCTAAGGGTCCCTAAAATACTTCCACCCACCTCGTTTTGCTCTAATTAATAAGACTTCATGGAACCTTCTTCCACCATGGGAAGCACAATCCACCGACAGATAAAGGACAGAGAGGTCACCAGAACTTCTCCACCCTGGAGTCATGTCCATCATCTCAGAACCAGCAGTCTTCCCACAGAGATAGCAGCAAACTGCACAAACTGCAGTCTTCCTGAAGAGATACTAGCACAGACTGCAGTGGGCCCAAACCTGTGGAAATCCTAACAGATATTATAGGGAGTCATTTAGCAAAAGCCACTGGATTTCTTTGGACAGCCCAGAAAGAGAACCTGCCCCTTTCCTTCAGTCGTTCCTGTCCCTCCCGCTGCAGCCATTGCTCCCAGAATTGAAACAAAGCATATGGCTATCCCTGTGACCTTTGATGAATCCCAGGAAGAAACTGGATAAAAAGCAAATGGGAGTCCACTTTTTATATAGAGATTGGGGCATCAGATCCATAGAATATTGGTGATAGCATGAATGCTTCCATGGCAAATAGAGTAAGAACTTCTCTTCCCAAGTCCAATTAGTGAATTTTCAGGGCTAGAGAGATTGCTCAGTGATTAAGAGCACTGGCTACTCTCTGGCTGCTCTTCCAGAGGACTGGGGTTTGATTCTTTTTGTTTTGTTTTGTTTGTTTGTTTTTTACGAGACAGAGTTTCTCTGTATTGTTTTGGAGGCTATCGGTCCAGCCCGGCCTCGAACTCACAGAGATCCACCTGCCTCTGCCTCCTGAGTGCTGGGATTAAAGACGTGCGCCACCACCACCCGGCCTGGGGTTTGATTCTTAATACTCACAAGACAGCTAACAACTGTCTGTAGCTCCAGGTACAGGGCATCTGACACCCTTTTCTGAGGGTATCAAGCACAATACATAGACATACGTGCAGGCAAAATACTTATCACATTAAAAATAAATAAGCCAGGTGGTGGTGGTGCACTCCTTTAATCCCAGCACTCGAGAGGCAGAGGCAGGCAGATCTATGTGAGTTCGAGGCCAGCCTGGTCTACAAAGCAAGTTCCACACAGGCAATTATACAGAGAAACCCTGTCTCAAAGACAGATAGACAGATAGACAGACAGACAGGCAGACAGACAGACAGACAGATAGATATTTTTAGAAATTAAAAAATATTAAATGTTCAATTAAAAGAAGATTCAATTATTTTCTTCATTTGCATAGCAGATTAGCAAGAAAGCAATTTACATATTATTTACACTGTGCCCCCAGCTCCAGAAGAGTTTAATAGACACAATCAAGTTCAAAGTAGGCAAAGAAGATTCATCAGTCCCTGAATTTGTGGGAAATGGAGACCAGCTCTGGAAAGATGTCTTCAGATAACAGTGAAACATCCCCCTTTGCTAAGGGATTCAGATTTAAGTCAATTCTTGGGAAGTTCATCAGGGCGACAGCAGTGAACACAGGGGCCCTGAGTGGAGAAGGGATGTAGAGGACGGTCAACAGGCTGACTGGGGAACCTGAGTCTCTGGGGTCTCAAATAGCAGCGATTTGAGATTTGAACAGAAACTTCATTCCAACGTGGAAGCCTCAATTGCTGTTGAAAAGAACATGGAGACTACATAGCTGCCTTTGCCAGTGCTGCCCAGCTGATGCCCTGGAGCATCAGACCGACTTCAGCAGAGCTCCATCCCAGCTGCTGGCCCATGCCCTGGAGCATCAGACCGCTGCCACCAGAGCTCCATCCCAACTTGTAGAGCTGGAAAAACACCATTCTAGGCCAGAATGAGCCAGTGCATGCATTTATGTTTCAGAACCACTTGGTGACTACATACACCTTAGTGTTGCTGTTGAATGAAATGCTGACAGAAATGGGGAGACGCTCAAATTATTTTGCTTAATATAATTATGAAATTCAGGCAGAAACAATGGTTGCTAGCAAACCAGATAAAAAACAAGGTAAAAAACAAAGGCACAGCTGGGTCTTGGTGGCACACGCCTTTAATCCCAGCACTCGGGAGACAGAGGCAGGCGGATCTCTGTGAGTTCGAGGCTAGCCTGGTCTACAAAGTGAGTTCCAGGACAGCCTCCAAAGCCACAGAGAAACCCTGTCTCAAAAACAAACAAACAACAAAGGCACATGAAAGCCCAAACCAGAATAAGCAGAGATCGATAAGCGGATCTCTAGAACAATTCAAAAATAAGTATCAGATTGAAACAGTTTAACAGTGATGTCACCCAGGGTGACAGCAACAACTGACAAAGCACTTGGAGGCAAAGACATGACCTACCAATGAGAATGCTCCTGCCTCTCCTGGCACACACCTTTAACCCCAGTCAGTACTCAGGAAGCAGCGACTGGAGGTTCTCTATCAGTTCAAAGCTAGCCTGGTGTACACAGAACTCTACTCCAGCCACGGTTATGCAGTGAGATCCTGAAAAAAAAATAAAAACAACTATCCCTATTGAGATGTTTCTTATACTTTATTCATAGTAAAATAATTTAAGACCATCTAAATAAACCACTGTGTGTTTTATGAATTAGACAGGTATGTTTATTATTGTTGTTGATATTAAAAGCTACATGTCCTTACCCTCTCTGAATTTAGTGGACCATGGCATGACTTTCTACAATATTTTGCTTACTTAACCACAACTGTATGTTAAATACTTGCACTAAAAAGTGCACAGTGTGGCCGGGCGTTGGTGGCCCACACCTTGAATCCCAGGACTCGGGAGGCAGAGGCAGGCGGATCTCTGTGAGTTCAAGGCCATCCTGGTCTACAGAGCTAGTTCCAGGACAGCCTCCAAAATAATACAGAGAAACCCTGTCTCGAAAAACCAAAAAAAAAAAAAAAAAAAAAAAAAAGAAAAGAAAAGAAAAAAGAAAGAAAGAAATCAAAACTGCACAGTGTGGGATGTAGAGATGACTCAGCAGTTAAGAATACTTGCTGCTCTTCCAAAGGACCCGGATTCAATTCCCAGCACCCACAAGAGTTACAGGCTCCCAAGGACCTGTAACCCCAGTTCCAGAGGATCTGACGACCTCTTTTGGCCTCTGAGGACACAGCATGCACATGATGCACAGACATCCATGCAGGCAAAACACCCACAGACATAATTTTTAAAAGTAAATGAAAAAAAAGTAACAGAAACATTGCTTCAAAGAACAAAACATTAAAAATTAAATAAATGAAAATAAAAAGTGCAATGCAGCCAGGCATAGAGGGGCAAGTGTTTAATCCCAGAATTTAGGAGGCAGAGGCAGATAGATCTCTGGGAATGTGAGGTCAACCTGGTCTACAGAGAGAGTTCCAGGACAGCCAGAGCTACATAGTAAGATTCTATCTGGAAAATACGGGGAGCAGGAGGGCATTGCAAGGCCAGAAAATTTTATAATCTTTTTTCTGTATATTATGTCCTGTAGTAAGGTTATCTATCCTCTTTATTTTTTTTAAATGAGAACCCAAACACTCTACCAGAAATTATATAGTCGAGTTTCCCACATTTGAGGAAATCACAGGAGTCGGGACATCCAGTGTACAATGAATGAGCATCATCCTGGGAAAAACACCTCCACAATCACAGCATCTCCCCTCCAGGAAGGTACCACCGACCCTTTTTACAAAGTGACTTGAAAATGCATTGATTAATGTCCACTTACACATCCCTGTACAAAAATATGATTTTGTGATTACAGTAATGAAACTATATCCCCTGTGAAGTATTAGCAATAAATTATTGTGGTGCACAAACGTTAAAAAGATTTTATGACAGCTAACCACAGGATCACAAATACAAACTGAAGGGTAAAACCCACGTGATCAGAAAGTGACAGATATTGTACAAACACACAAGGCTGCCTAGCAGGGGGCCCTGGCAATTTTTGCCATTGGCAACTTGTGTGAGAAGGACACAGGCCAACTGGCCAAGGTGGACACCTGTTAATAAAATAACCAAGAAGCAACACCATTAACTCTGTCCTTGGCCTTACACTAAGCCGGTATACATACACGGAACAGACACAGACAGTGAAAAGCCCGGAGGTCTGGTCAAAATATTAAGAACCTAACTTTTCTTTTTTTTTTTGAATAACAAAAAATATTTTACCAAAACATAAGATTTACAGAAGTTTCCAGGATGCCTGGGCTTTTATTCCGTAATGTTTCTAAGACTATATCCGTCAAATGCAAACAAAAAAAGGAAGAGTCTTGGCAGAACAGGAGAAGTGATGCACACCTGATGATCTGATCGGCTTAAATATTATTCATGGCATATAGCCTAGTCCATGCTCTCGCTGTTTCTATGGCGTGGGCTTCATTGGTCTTCCACTGCCCAGCTACGTCATTTGCTAACGGATCATCTGGGATAGGAGCACTTAACAAAGCCTGGATTGATAGCAGAACTGTGCGGATCTGCAGTGCTGGGGACCACTTATCTTTCAAAATATCTAAACATATTCTTCCCAACTTGTCTACATTAGGATGATAAATTTTGGTCATGAAGTGTACTTTAGGTGCTGCCATTGGGTATCCTTCTGGAAGGAATAGTTCAAGTTTAAAAGTCCCTCCCTCAAAGGGGGATCCTGGGGGCCAGCAATGGCCACATGAAAATAACGGGCGTTGCTCTCATCTGGTTCTGCCTTAATGCCAGGAACTGGTTCTGCCAGCAAACGCTGGGGTTCCTTCATGATCCTGCAGGACAGCCTGGCCATCTTGTCAAATCCCAAGTTCGGCCTCTGCTCGTGTCTCCGGCTCCGCTGGAGTCATGCACGCGTAGCAAGAACCTAACTTTTCATTTGGCAGCTGTGTGGTCTGACTAGTGTGTTCCTTTCAAGTTAGATGAACAGTCCCTCCACCAGATCGATGCAGGCACATTTATCTCAGTGCCAGGCTCAGATTTAAGTGCTCTTACTGTTAACTAACCACAGAAACACAACAGCAATCCTTACAGGCCGCCTTTTCAGGTGTCCCTTTTATTTCTGAGGCAAGCTGCCCTGGGAGTGCTAATTTTCCATTGTCCCTAGACATCACCTGGATCCCCTCAAGGGGCTTCCCACCACCTTCCAGGGGGAACAAAAGCCAAGTGGAAATATGTGTGTACTGCTGTGATTTCTCTCTGTACTGTGCCGGATGCCTGACGATTGGGGGCAAAACCCAAGCTAACAAGAGAATGATAAAATGAGAAGGGGTGGGGAGGTCATGATGAAAATATAACTCATCCAGGCAGTGGTGGTGTACACCTTTAATCCCAGCACTCAGGAGGCAGAGGCAGGTGGATCTCTGTGAGTTCGAGGCCAGCCTGGTCTACCGAGCGAGTTCCAGGACAGGCTCCAAAACAATACAGAGAAACCCTGTCTCAAAAAACCAAAAATATAAAAAAATAAAAAGAAATGCAAGAAAAATATTTAAGAGATGAATTTACTAGTAGCTAAGCTGAGAGTTTCTAAATAAAAACTAGATATAAGTACTTTGGGTGTTTCGTTTTTTGCAGATATATATATATATATATTCTGCATACCAAACTCCTGTCTAAAATTTGGTGGAAATGGTTTTGGTTTTATCCCATTCTATAGGCTGTTTCCTTTGCTGTGTAGTAAGGTTTTTAAAAAAAAATACTCATTTAGTTTTCCTTCATGAACATTGATGTTTCACCTATGGTGATGGTGTCAGATGCCCTAGAACTGGAATTACATAGAGTTGTAAGCTGCTGTGTGGATGCTGGGAATTGAACTCAGGTCCTCTGGTAGAGCAACCAGTACTCTTAACCACTGAGTCATCTCTCCAGCCTTGCTGTGCAGAAATTTTTTACTTCATGTGGCTGTGTTTCTTTATTCTTGAGGCTATTTCTGATGCTACTGGAAGCCTGTTCAGAAAGTCCCTGTTAAACACCTTTGTATTGAACTGTATTCTGTATGTTTTCTATTAGCACTTTGAGCATGTCAAAACTAAGGTCTTTGATCCACTTTGAATTGATTTTTTTCTTACAAGATGAGAAATATGACTCTCATTTTACTCCTTTACAGGTATGTCTTAGTTAGGCCTTTTATTACTGTGACAAAACACAATGATCAGAGCAACTTATAAAAGAAAGCATTTAATTGGGATCATGGTTTCAGGGGGCTAAAAGTCCTTGATGGCAGAACAAAGGCATGATGGCAGGAACAGCTGAGAGATCACATCTTGATCCACAAGTAGGAACTAGAGAGAACTCACTGGGAATGGCATGGAGTTTTTGAAACCTCAAAACCCACTCCCAGCAACACCTCCTGCAACAAGACCACACCTCCTAACCCTTCCCAAGCAGTTCCACCAACTAGAGACCAAGTATTCAAACATATAAACCTATGGAAGTCATTCTTACTCAAGTGGCTGTAAGATGGATACCCAGTTTTGCTAGAACCATTTGTTTAATAGGGTATCCTTTCTTCAGGCTATGTTTTTAACATCTTTGTCAAAAATTAGGTGGCCACACCTGTGTGAGTTTACCTCTAGGCACTCTACTCAATTCGTCCCTGCGTAACTGAGTAACATAATCTGACGTGGAGTATTGTGATCCTTCCAACAGTGTTCTTTCTGTTCAGGATCAATTTGGTTACTTGTGGTCTTTTGTATTTTCATATGAGTTTTTAATTGTGCTTTTCTAGTTATCTGGAAAATTTCAATGGAACTTTGTTGCAAAATATTCCTTTACACTGTGTAAAGATGTGATTGGTTTAATAAAGAGCCGAATGGCCAATAGCTAGGCAGGAAGAGGTTAAGCAGGACTTCTGGGGACAGAGCGGTCTCAGGGAAGAAGAAAGGTGGGATCACCAGCCAGACGTGGATAAAGCAGCATGAGCAGTATGGAGAGATGAGGTAATGAGCCACGAGACAGAAGGTAGATTAAAATAAGTGGGTTAACTTAAGTTATAAGAGTTAGAGGGACAAGCCTAAGCCAAGGCCACACTTTCATAATTAATAAGTCTCTGTGTCATTACTTGGGAATTGATGGGACAAAGAAAGACTCCTAACAAAACTTTGATGAGGATTGCATCAAGTCTGTAAATTACTTGTGTTTGCACAATCATTTTCATATTAATTCTGTTAATCCAAGACCATGGAAGGTCTTTTTGGGGGGTTTCGAGACAGGGTTTCTCTATGGCTTTGGAGGGTGCCCTGGAACTGGCTCTGTAGACCAGGCTGGCCTTGAATTCACAGAGATCCTCCTGTCTCTGCCTCCCGAGTGCTGGGATTAAAGGCGTGTGCCACCAACACCCGGCTATGGGGGGTCTTTTTATCATCTACTTTCCTCTTTAATTTATTTTTTCAGTGTCTTAAAGTTTCCATTATACAAGTCTTTCATTTTCTTGGTTAGGTTAATTCCCAAGTATTTTATGTTTGGGGATTTCTTTGGTTTGGATTTTTGTTTGTTTATGTTGTGACTTGTTCTTTTGTGATAAGAATAGAGGAATTTAAAAACCAAACTTTAAGGACTGGGATATAGTCCTACATTAGACCATGTGTGATGCTTCAGGCTTGATTCCCAGAAAGGAAACAAAAAAATCAGGTGTGGTGGACACCTGGTCTGCACAAAGATTTCCAGGCCCAGCAGGGCTACCCAGACAGATCCTGTCTCAACATGAAACAAAATAAGTCCAAACAGTCCAAAAAGTCCAGACATGGTACGACCACATTGGAATAAGTGAAGTTTGCTGTATTAATCAACTTATCAACAATATTGATCACATAAATTAAGAATCAGATTCAGAAACAAGCAAGGACCCAATAACTTAGAACTGTCCAGCCTGATTAAATAAATGAGTGGAGACTTTATTGTCTAGATTTCCAATTTTTCGAGCCTCAGGATGCACATATGATGAAAGCAAAAAGAAATGTCCAGAACCTTGGAAAGGAGGAGATGGTACCTGAATGGAAGTAACCGTGTTGGAGACCCTCCTCTTGGACCGCCGTGAGCGTGCTCTGCAGCCTGTGGGGGATAGAGTCAGAATACACATTCAGACGAAGTGGCAACAGGCCTTCTCTGGTGTCTCCCCAAACCAGTCATCAGCAGAGACTGTGCTGGGTCCTTGTCTCCTCTATGTACTCATAAAGCAACAGGGCACCAGCTCATGCCTTCCTCCCTACAAGCTAAGTAGCAACATATGGGGTCCTGGTCTGGAGGGGAGGCATCCAGTTCCCTTAAGAAAGTCACTGCCTAATCCTATGATAACAATTTCATTTAAATGAACGATCCGGTTTCTAATAGTGACTGCATTTAAGTATTTCTATGTGGTCAAGTGACTACTAGGGTGAACATGGGAAATGTCCACTTTTGCCCTTGCAGAAAGTTCTGATTAGAACCATAGGTCTCAAGGACAGGACTGGACAACATAGGAGGCTTGAAACCATCGGGACTGAATTCCAGGTGTTCTTGGGGGTACTATGAGGAAGGGGCAGTAAGAAGCACCTCTCATCCATGATGATGTCAGCACAAGAGGATCCATGACCTCTTTACCATGAATGGCAAAGTAAGGGACCCGCCACCTTGGGTGCTCTTCCTCAGAGTCCCAAGAAGAAGAAAAGGCAGGAAGCTGTGGGCAGAGGCAAGACAGAGCTTTGGTGTTGCCTGTGTCCTGTGGGAGTGGACCGGTCCCCTTTAAGGAAGCATGTGTGGGCGCTCAGAATTACCACAGCTTCATGAGCCAGGAGGAAGCTCTGGTCCCAGCAGAGTGGTGTGTGCAGCTGTACCTGTTGTGTCAGATTATAATCCCACCCCAGCTCCTCCGTGCCCACCTACCGCCGTTCTCCACTGTGCAGAGTGCCTCCAAGACTTGGGTCAAGGGGACATTCTTGGCATCTGAGGACTGGTCCCTGCAGGTCCCATTGATGATAACACAGTCCTCACATCCACTGACACCCTCTTCATCATTGAGGTGTCTGCTGTTTCCCTTCATTGCTGTCTGTGGGAGGAGGCCATAATGGATAGAAAGGAAGGAGACAGGGTCATGAGAGGGCAGCTCATTCCAACTTTCCCACCATGGTCTCTATACCCTTGGTTCAAGAGAGAGGCCCGTGATCCAGTCTCTGGGTGATACTGGGCTCCTGAACCCTATCCCGGGACCCTCATCAAACTCAGATGGCTCAGATGGAGCACTCAAGAGAAAGCTCAGGTCTGAGACGCTAACTGCTGTATGACAACTCTTCAAACAAGGTCATTATGGCATGCTTGCCCCAGACAGCCTAAGTTCCCTTCTGTCCCTGGCCCTTTCTCCCTGCCCAGCCTCTGCAGAGCCTCAAGAAGCCAGTGCACTCTCTCCTCATGACCCCTTTGTTTGCTCTCTCCAGGTCTCCTTCCCTCTGCCCCTCCTCTCAGACAGGCTTCTCTCTTCTCCATGACAGCACAAGCCCCAGCCCAGCCCATCCTCTGGGGCCCATTGGTCAGTTGGCCTGTCACTCATTCCCTCCCTCATCAGTGGGGGTGAATGCTAAGTTCTGAAGGGAAGAAGAATGCAGGAAAAGCAGTGACAAAGAGCTGTACAGTCACCAAGAGTGACATCTCTGGCCTACTGTGGCCTTATGAGACCTCCAGGACTTGTGTCATTGCTGTCTCTCTAGTAAGCCAGCTAAGACAGTGAGTCAGGTCCTCACCGTTGGGTCCATGGGCTTGTGTGACCTTTGCCCTGACTCACACAACATTGTGGACAGCAATTAGAAAAGCACACACACACACACACACAACTGCTTCTTTATTGGGGGGGTGTGTGCTGCAAGCCTATTTTGGAGAAACAGAAAGATGATACACTAGGTAAGCTGTCAAGGACCCAACACCAAGTGCAAACGGACCCTCATCTGCAACGGTAGCACTTGGGGTGCTGAGGCAGGAGCGCTGAAAGTTGGCAGGGAGAAGTTGTCTCAAAGCCAAAAAAAGAAAAAAAGAAAGGGACATCCGAATGTTAGATGTAGCTAAGTCTCATACATGTGCATAGCAAGACACTAGAATCAATTCTTAGCACTTACAAGAAAAAACGTTAGCGTAAGCCACCACAACAAAACATACAAGAGATCCATAGATGTAAACATCTGTTACTTAGGAGGCCGTGGCACCAGTTTCTGCAGCTGAAGATGGCCTGGATCACACAGTGAAAGCCTGTCTTTCACCCAAAATGTGGGTCCAGGATGGGGTGTGGACAATGCTAACACTCAGGAAATGAAAGCTAAAAGTTGTTTGAGGCAGGGTCTATGCTCATAGCGTAGGCTTTCCGGGACTCGCATCAAACACGCTACAAGCCTCCAAACTGGGCCTCCCAAAAGCCGCAATTACACACTTGACCCACCCTTCCTATCTTGCCTTTGCTTTTAAAATCTATGTTGAGTTCGCAAAAATTAAGCCAAGTCAAAACGGTATTACGATCTATAAACAGTGCTTCTCAACCCGTGGTTGTATCAAAGGACCACTGGAAAGCACAGATATTTACATTATGATTCATAACAGGAGCAAAATTACAGTTATGAAGGAGCAACAAAAATAAGTTTTATGGTTGGGGTCGCCACAACATGAGGAACTGTATTAAAGGGTCACAGCTTTAGGAAGGTTGAGAACCACTGATCTACAAACTCATACTCAAGAATTGCTCGATCAAGTTATCAATCATCATCATAGAAAAAGACACTCAACGTCTTAAGTAAGTTTATAATTTTGTGTTGGTCACACTCAGAGCTACTGGTCTCTGTGGCCAGTAGGTTGCACAGGCCTAAGCAGGAAAAAGTCCGTAAGTACCATCCCTTCACTTCATGGGGCCCAAAGTAGACACTCTAATCTTTGCCTAGAGAAGTTTGCCACTAAGTAGCTGCTATCTGGCTCCAGTCTTCTCGATTCTGTCCCATCCAGACACTCACCAGAAAAAGGCTATCCTCGGAGAGAACCTTCTAGAAGCACCACCGCTTTAGCTGTCTGGGGATGCTATAGGTTTCACATCCGCCAGGGGGCGCTGTGTAGCAAGTCCCATATAGCACCCCCGGATGTATTTGAAATTTATTCAAGGGAGTCCCAACTGCATCCTTTAAACTCGGCCATCATCCAAGCATGAGCACTGAGCAAACAGGGCAAGGGTTTCTCTCTTAGCCTGCCTATGAGCCTGGCTAATAAAGGTATTATCTTACAGTCACTTAGAACTTCAGAATCTATGGCCAGCAGGATGGCTTAAGGATAAAGACTCCCTCAAGCTGTTCTCTGAACTATACACAGGCACACACACATACACACTAAATGACTAAACAAATGTTTAAAAAAAAAGAACTTCTAAGCCGGGCGTTGGTGGCACACGCCTTAAATCCCAGCACTCGGGAGGCAGAGGCAGGCGGATCTCTGTGAGTTCGAGGCCAGCCTGGTCTACAGAGCTAGTTCCAGGAGAGCCTCCAAAACAATACAGAGAAACCCTGTCTCGAAAAACCAAAAAAAATAAAAAACAAAAAAAAAGAACTTCTGAATCTTGGGCACCATCCACAAATCTATTCTGTTCCATAAGGGTTTTAAACTTTACCAAGATCTGGCTATGAAGCTAATTTTATGTCACAGGCTAGAGGCATCTAAGATAAGGGAGACTTCAACTGAGAAAATGCTTCCATAAGATCATGAAACCATGTCCAGCAGTGGTGGTGCATGCCTTTAATCCCAGCACTCGGGAGGCAGAGGCAGAGGCAGGCAGACCTCTGTAAATTTGAGGCCAGCCTCGTCTATGGAGCAAGTTCCAGGACAGCCAGAGTTGTTACACAGAGAAATCTTGTCTCGAAAAACCAAAAAATAAAAATAAAATATCAGGAAACCGGCAGAACTAAAAAAAAAAAAAAAAAAAAAAAAAAATTAACCTGGCCAAGGAAACCCAGATCCAGAAAGACAAACATGATATGTACTCACTTATGAGTGGATATTATCTGTAAAGTAAAGGGTATTCATGCTTATGATCCACAGACCCAGAGAGGCTAAGTAACAAGGAGGCTGTAGGGGGAACACATGGATCTCCCTGGATGAGAAGGGAAAATAGACAGGTGGGCAGTGCTTGTACTTTTTTCTCAACACAAGGATTATCACTGCCTAGGGGGTCAGTCTCCAGCAACCAGCACCACAGGGCTCAAAGGGGATCCATGGAGTCAGTGCATATTATGATTTTTATTTGAGGGGGTTAGGGAAAAAGACACACACACTCTCTTGATGGTTTCCTTCTTTATTCTTCTGTGTTCTTCATTCGGTGTTTTAGATTCTCTTTTCTTATTTCCATCCAGAAATATCCCTTCTGTCTCTCTTGATGCTTTCCTTGTCTTTCTGTCTCTCTTGATGTCCTCCTCCTAATTCTCTCATTCTTGATGTCCTCCTCCTAATCCTCTCATTCTTGATGTCCTCCTCCTAATCCTCTCATTCTTGATGTCCTCCTCCTAATCCTCTCATTCTTGATGTCCTCCTCCTAATCCTCTCATTCTTGATGTCCTCCTCCTAATCCTCTTATTTTTGATGTCCTCCTCCTAATTCTCTCATTCCGGATGTTTTCCTTCTAACTCATTCTAATGCTTTCTTATTCTTTCCCTTACAGCTTATATACACCAGCAATTATTTCAGGCAATATAAAAAGTATAGTGTGGGGACTGGAAGAGCACTGACTGATCTTCCAGAAGTCCTGAGTTCAATTCCCAGCAACAACATAGTGGTTCACAACCATCTATAATGAGACCTGGAACCCTCTTCTGGAATGCAGGTATAAATAAATATTTTTAAAAACTTATTAAAAATTATAATATTGTTACATTCTATTTTTCAAATGAGTGATTGCAATGAATGCAAATAAAAAACAGCATGTTTTCCATATCCTTTACATGATTAAACATTTTACACATTACAGGTGAAAACAAATTATTCCGAGAACCCACCTACATTCATGCTCAAGCAACTTGTTATAGATTAATGTGTAGGCAAGCAAGATATTCTTCTCAGTCAGGTCTTTTACCAGCAGACTCAGTTTTGCAGTTACAAAGAAAGGGCCAATTACTTTATTACTTATCTTGAAAGGTAATCTTGTAAGGAATCTTAAAGGAATCACAAACCTAAACTTTTGTATTTGAAAAAGCATCAAAAAAAAAAAAGCCAGGCGTTGGTGGCACACGCCTTTAATCCCAGCACTCGGGAGGCAGAGACAGGCGGATCTCTGTGAGTTTGAGGCCATCCTAGTCTACAAAGCGAGTTCTAGGACAGCCTCCAAAACAATACAGAGAAACCCTGTCTCGAAAAACCAAAAAAAAAAAAAAAAAAAAAGAAAAGAAAAAGCATCAGACAAGAGAGAGCATGTCTCTTTCCCCTCAGCTCTTTTATCCCCGTACCTTCTACGTACCTGTGACCATGCCCAAATGGGCGTGGTCAGTGCTACAGGTATATAAGATCTCTCCCTACAGTATCATTACCTGCCATTGCTCAATCCACACTCCCCCTCTCTGATATGAACCAGGCAAGTCGGCTGAATCCAAATGAAGCCCCCCAAAGACAGGTTTTTACAGATTGACGCCCAGCATGGGACTAGTAAAGATGGCAACTACAGATTGTCACAGCAACGTGGACCTCAGCACAGGAGATAGAAATGGTGGACACTGCAGAGGAATAGACACTGCTGATGTACAAGTCTGAAAAGAGCTCTCAGATAAAAGAAGTGAAGGGTGGTGAGTGAAAAACTTGGGAGTAAAAATTGTTTATATTTGTAGATATGGGACAAAGAAATGGCAGTCAACTGACTATAAAATTGATTAGAGATATTTTAAGAATCAAGGGAATAGAAATTGAGCAGCAACAAATATATAAAGTTTTAGAATTTATGAAGCAGGTATGCCCTTGGTTTTTCAACCATGGGACTTTAGACTCAAGCCCATGGAACAAAATTGTGGAAAAATTCCAACAGCATTATTACAAACATGGACC